GGTAATGACATTTAAATGAACTTTCTCCTTTGAACGAAAAGTTTTTTTTTATAATACATTTATTTATTTATCAAAAGCCACGAGATTTCGATAGTTTGAACATTATTCATGTAACTGGAACGAAAGGAAAAGGTTCTACTTGTGCTTTAGTTGAATCAACATTAAGAAATTTCTATTCATCGCGTAAAGGAAGTATGATAAACAAGATTCGAACAGGTGTTTTATGCTTTGAGCATGTACGTCTGTTTTAGTGATTGCAGGAAATTTTATTAACACGACCTAAATGCAAGGGTTGTTTACATCTCCACATCTTGTTGCTGTTCGAGAACGTATTCGTTTGGATGGGACTATACTGAGTGAAGAAGAATTTGCCAAATATTTTTTTGAATGCTGGGATAGACTTGAGTTAAACAATTTACAGGTTCAGACCATTATTTTTATCCAAATAAATGATGCTGAAAACGGCTGATGCTGAAATTCGGACCTATTTTGATACGAAAATTTAAGATTTTTGTGGAGTGTTTTTGTCCGCTTTTTTTTTAGGGTTAGGTTAGGATTTAAGGTTAGAATTGATAATTAAAGAGTATATGTGAATTTTAACAGGGTTTATATTTTCAAATCGAGACTCCAAATTTCAGAATCAGCCGTTTTTAACATCAGCTGCGACAATAAATGAAATTCTAATTAATTTTACTGAAAACTTTCTCTTATTAAACAGAATGGTGATGATAAACAACTTAAGCCAAACTATTTCCGATTTATCACGTTAATGGCATTTCATGTTTTCATGAAAGAAAAGGTTTGTAATTTTATTGCAACTAGATTGTTATTCCTAAACTAGTGATCGATCTTTATTCCTAGTGATCAATTGTTTTAATATCCAAGGTGGACGTGGCAATTATGGAAGTTGGGATTGGTGGTGAATATGATTCAACAAACATTATAGAAAAACCCACAGTTTGTGGTGTATCATCTTTGGGAATTGATCACCAAAGATATTTGGGCGAAACAATTGATTCAATTGCATGGCATAAAGGAGGCATATTCAAGGTATGTTTAAATTTGTCATTAATTTTTAAATTATGAAATAATAAATTCTTCTTCTAAATAATAATTTATTTGATTAATAAGGCAAATGTTCTGGCTGTTACTGTTGACCAGCCTGCTATAGCTTTGGACGTCTTGAAGAAACGAGCAAAAGACGTGAATGTAAGTAAAATAATATATATACAATTCATACCTTTTAAACTTATTACAACTTGTCCAACAGGCTCCATTCATACAAGTCGAAACGCATACTAAGGAATCTTTGGGCAACATTAATATCGGTATTAGTATATAGATGTAATAACTGTTATATTTATTTCTCGAGTAATTTTATTAAAAAAAAAATAATTGTCAATTTCAGGACTCGCTGGTCAACATCAACTCATAAATGCATCTCTCGCAATTGAGTTATGTCGTATATGGCTTGAAAAACATAGAAATATTAAATTTGATAATGAAAGAGTTCCTCAAGAGTTTGTTCCTGGTCTTGTTAAAGTGCGATTGCCTGGTCGCACACAACAACTTGTCCTTGAAAAATATCCAAAAATTACTTGGTTTTTGGACGGCGCTCATACATTGGAGAGTATTCAGGTGAGTTTAATATTATTAAAAATTATTATTTATAATGATCATAAATCTTCAATCTATTGTTTTAAACATTATGTTTTTAGGTATGTATTAACTGGTTTAATGAAACTGCGATATCCAAAGTGGATGAAAGGTAATTAATTACTTTATAATATTGGATCAATTTATACTTTGCTTAGAAATTTTATACATTTATAGTCAGGAAACCAAATCCAAATCATTACCTAATATTGAACGAATCTTGATATTTAACTGCACTGCTAATCGCAATGGACCTGAAATGTTAAAAAACCTAATGCAAAATTCATATATCCACTTTGATCACGCTAACTTTTGTACAAATGTCACATTTACTACGAATCAATTTAAACCTGGTAAATTCAGATATATATGTTAATAATGAAATTAAATTTATTTAACCTTATTAATTGAACTTGTTTATTTTTTGCTTAGATTTACAAAACAATACAATTAAAATTGATGAAAATCTTACCTGGCAAAAAACACTTTCAGAAATTTGGCCAACCTTAATACCAAAATCACAAAAAAGTGAAGCGCATGTTTTTCCTACTATACAAAATGCTATTAATTGGGTACTTGAACATTGCAAGGAGAATGAACGTGAAGTTCAAGTGTTGGTTACTGGAAGTTTACATTTAGTAGGTGGTGTAATGGCTGTGTTAGAAATAGATATTTAATTAATTTTCAAGGAAATAAAGGCGGTCATTTATAGAGATTGATTTAGTATTATTGAATAAATATATTAATTGTTAAACATATTTATTTTCAATTTTTTTCTAGTACCGTTATGTCTTCATAAAAGTAAATTAAGGCAATCAAAATTAAACGTTTAATGTTTAAGATAATAAAAAAAAAAAGTGTCAAAATTATTTACCTCTTTGTTTTTCAAAGTAACATGTGGTTTTGCAAATAGATGTTAAATAAATACAATGTTAATCAATTCTTAAACATTACGATATTTGTCAAAATACATATTATTATTTGGTGACAATCAGTATTTTAAAATTAGAAATGTTTGCATATTGCATCATGATTTATTATATCTAAAATTAAATAATTAAATTTAAACAAAATAATTTATATTTTATTAATAAATATATATAAAAAATTGTTAAAATAATTTTAAAAAAATTTAATCAAAAATTATTAATTTTTAATATTTTTAAATAGTTTTACTAAATCATACTATTGGTGTTGTTATGATTAGGGAGAGCACTTCTACGGTTAGACCAAATTTAACTTAGTGTCATAAACAAAAACTAGTTATTATTAAAGAATATATAGTACTTATTTATTTTATTATATATCTTGTAAAAAAACTCCTGAAAAGAGTTTGCACATATGTTATATTTATAGATTTTGATGTGTAAGGGTTTTAAACCCAGATCTGGGGTTTCAAGCCCGAATTTGATGCAGACCTGGTAGTTACTATCTAGTATAACAAATCAAACTATATAAAAATATAAAATATATATATATAAAGAAAAAATACAAAATTTTTATAAAGTAGATTTTTTTTTAGCTCTAATAGTATTTAGATTATTCAAATCAGTATAGTAAATTCTAAAATATTTAGAATTAAAATTGTAAATATAAAGATTTATAAATTATTAATTATACAAAGTATTAAAGATTATTCCTTAAACCATCTAGCAGGCAAATTTGTCTGCTTAAATAATTTTTAAAAGTTTTAAGTTTTTTAAAATTTATTTAAACTTGATCCTTCTATTTATTAATTAAAATTAAAGATATTTTTTTTATAAATAAATATTTAAATTTTATTATTCTAGTTTTAATTTTGATTTTTTTTATATTAATAGTAAAACCATGTTTCTAATTTTATTAAAATTTAATTAAACTCTCTTACAAAAAAAAAAATTATTATTATTTTTTTTTTGTATTAAGGTGAGGCCTTGCTTATATCTTTATTAATAGTTTTTATCATAGTAACTACAAAGAGTTGCTAACTTTAATATATGAAATATAAAAAGTAAAAACTACATTGCAAGAATAAAAGCCCAGACTACTTTATTCGTGACCTAAACCTACTAGAGTAGTCAAAGACTCACCTAGATTTTTTTAAGAAAGAAAAAATAAAATGTAAAGTAAATAGAGTATTTAATTGAATGAATT